TATGGAGTCCTATCCGCCACCGGGGACTGTCTGAAAATTGCCGAAGAAGTATTTTGGCCCATACACAGCTCTACAACGCCTGAGCGACGTTAATTACGTGGTCGTTCCTGACAGCCCCTCGACATCTCGCCAGCAAAAACCAGAAATCGTGCACGTTGTGCGAATGATGCCCTACTTTTCGGACTGATTTACACCATACATCTACTACCCCGTCTTTTGTAGAAGAGCATCGGGACGCTGCTCTTTGGAGGGGGGCAAATGCCACATTGAATATGCAGTGCCAAGAGAACAACGAAGAACACGCGCCAAGAGAGAAGAAGACGAGGTTCTCTTCCGATCAGTTTGCCAGTGTTCTGGTACAATTAAAGTGAGTTTCCTGTATTCGACTGCTGCTGTTTCTGCATATTGACAGTATTACGCACATTTTCTATTACCTGATTGATAGAATGAATATGGTCCATTTTGAAGTAGCCTGTACAAAATTCTGCTTGGTCCTTTGGTTCATAGAACTCTAAAGATGCCTTCATTCTTTTAACTTTCTTGTAACTATTTTGTAGAGAATAGACAGTAAGTTGATCAGCCTGTTATTTTTCTAGTCCTTGACGTCTCCTTTCTTGCGGATTAAGATGGTGTTGGCCTTCTTGCAAGATTTCGGTACCCTTCCCGTCAAGAGGCACTTCGTATATAAGGTGACCAGTTTGTCTAACAAAATATCTCCGCCATTTTTAAGATGGTCCGTTGTTACCTTATCCTTACCAGCGGCTTTGCCTCTTAGCATTCCATTTAGCACTTTCCTTACTTCCCGTGTCATCATTGGTAGGATGTTGAATTCCTTTGGAATAATATTGCTTCTCACGATACCATCGTGGTTGTTTAGCTTCAGTACAGCTCCCTGCAGAACTTCTGCACCACCTCGACTATCCTATTCAGATTGGCTATGATATTGCCTGTCTTGTCTCTTAGTGCTTACATTCAATTTTCACTCATACGCAAGTTTACCTTCGCAGTTTTTACGCGTTTGCCGCTTTTTATAGCCTACTCAACTCTCTCTATCTTACACTATCTGACGTCGGCAGCCTTACGTCTATTCATTAACTTTGAAAGCTCACTAGGATTACTTTGTCGGTTTCCTATGAGGCTTTCGTAATTTGTCTGCTTTTATTAGGATTTTTTGTCTCCTGAGATAGCTTACCAGTGTCCTGTCTAGTGAACGCACCTCCAACTTTTGTTGCACCCTCTTTGATGATACTTGTAGGAATATAATTGATTTTTTTCAATGCAAACGTTGGTTACCTCGTTTAGTGCTTCGGATTTATTCTGAAGCAGAACTCTGACTTTCTGTACTTTATATCTCACCGCTAGTTTATTCATTGGCTTCTTCCGTATCAGTTTTTCTCTTTGCTTTTTGAATCTAGGTGTATACGAGCTCTTACAATTTTATGGTCACTGCTTCGAACCTTGCCAACTACCTAAACTACTTACTTTTACATCCTGTACAATGCCTGGACGTGCACACAAAAGAAATCTATTTCATCTTTAGTTTCACCATCAGGACTTCGCCACGTCCACTTATGGTTAGCCCGTTTTCCGGAGTTGGTAGTGAAGATCCATAAATTATTACGTTTCGCGAACTCACAACAATACTCGCTCAGTGATGTTCTTGTGGACGAATTAAAATGCTATGAAACAATGTCACAACATAGTCAAATATTGCCATTATTTCGCCTCCGAATATTTTCCTTCTAAGCTCTTTGCGTTTTTGGGTCACCTATGCGACAATTTCGTGCCTTGTGCTGTAGTATTGCAGAGCAGGGAAGCGCTCAACCGGGGTCCTACAACATTACATCGCATTGATATTCTTCAGCGCAATTTAGACGAAGACAAATTGAGACATACAGAACACAGGCGAGCGCTGACTTACAACTGAGTTTATTTGCATTTTAACAAGTCCGCGCTCATCTGTGTTTTGTGTGTCTTGATTTATGTTCATCTAAATTGAGCTGAAGCCTAGCCTGTTATGTACCAACTCGCCCAACTCAAAGTGCTTTTGAAACAGATTACATCGCTTGTTCATGCTTTCATTCTACTTCGACTTGCTAATGCAGTTACGGATGAAAACAGGCAAATGTTTTATGGATCAGTCAACGCATTTGCTGCTTCCGAAAAGTTATTTTTGTTCTTCGAAATGTATAGAGCATCACAACAGCTTAGGAAACGATGTAACATCTTTTGACTGAATGTGGCGATATTCAATGGGGTATACGAGTGGGTAAGAGCCTATATGAGCCTGGGTTTTTTGGGACAACCATGAAAAGTAATAAAGGGGGCGTTCATAGCATTTATTCATCTGCTGGGCTTTCGTTTCCGAAGTTTCGCGTAATTTGTCGGCATTCAATTTCGCGGGTCATGAATCAGCGAAGCGCAAATTGTCAAGTTTGCTTATCGGAGCTCTGCGATCGTCAGTTATGATTTTCCGTGTCATGAGTTGAACAGGCAAGCCAGGGGTGAGAATGATACATAGTTCTTCATAGCAATGGTACATGGAGTGTTGCTAAACGGTGGTACGAATGGTTTGTAGTCTATACGGTCACAATAACTAAAAAAAAACATGTTTCATCATTCTTTTATTGTGCACTTCGTCACTGTATTTTCTCTAGGCATTCTAGGATGGTTAATGCTACGCGCTGTAACGTTTCTTTCCTTTAGCGTGGATGAGGAATTTGCCAAATAACGAAACAAGGCTAGCATTTGAGATGCCGACTTGAACAGGGCATGATTACACTATCGTGCTCTCTTCTCGAATGAAAATTCAAGCGTGCTTAAAGCTTTTCGAATAGCGTTCTAAATAAAGCTGTTGCGGTAGTGCACTTTCCATTCACGCATAAATGTTAGGCAGTTTAGGTATCAATGAGAAATAAGAACACGACACTTTTCTATCAAATAAAGCACATTTTTATAGATATTGAGAAAAGTTCAAGTACAAACAAACATTTTTTCTGAAAGTGCCATGCGCAAGGTTAAAGATTGTGATGTAGCCAACACAATTACCTGATGCCTTATCCTAAAAAACTCATTTACAATCAGCTCTGTACGGAGAGGTCGAATTCTTCTTCTTCTGAATTGCTTTCACATAAGCCTCATATTCTACCGTGCAATTCGTGTCTAAACTAGTGTAGTTATGACGACCTCTAACTCGAATTTCAGACCACACGTTATATTTCTCTTCAAAGAAACAAACATTTACAATGGCGCGTTTCACATGAAGTACTTCCGAATTTGTCCTTGCAAGGATGTTGTAATTTAATTTCCTAAATAAACACCAATACTGTCGCGATTGCTTACCACTAGAAGGCACTTCTCGGTAATTTTTTGTTTAGAACTTTAATTCCAAAACTTGTTTTTACAAGTCGTTTTAGTGATCATTCGTGTTACTTGTTCTAGCGAATAATCAATTGATAGTGTCACCATTCTTGAAAATGTGAGTAAACCACGACTTTTTTCTCATCTGACAGCAGCCTCATTCTCGTTTTTGGGCTTGTGAGTAACCAGTGGAGAACCGAAGAGCTCTAAAACGAGTGTGCGCACATGGAAGATTCCACACTTTCCACTGTGTTATTAGGAGCTCATCAAGTTTGGCAACATTTCAGCTGGCGTCAGCACAATGCGCGCTTAACTATCAGGTCATAGCACCGTTGCCTAGCAACGGTTTGTACGGCTGTGCTCAGTTCGGCAAGGCATGTTAAAGGAGCTATATAACACTTTTTGAGCATGGTTAGAAAATGCTGCCGATTGGTAGTATGGGCTTCCGAGAACACGCGAGTCGAATATAGAGTGCAGCACATGACCTAGAATTTACCATAAATCATCAAAGTCAGCAAAAAAAAATTCTCTCGAGAAATGACAGAAAATGCTCAAAAACTGCGCGTTGACGGCCATCTATCAGCCATTGGCTGATATGAACATGGCGCGATCAGTTGTTACAAGCATATCCGCGGGAAGCCGCGACTTTTTCATGCGTGTGCGCACAATTACACAAAAAACGCCGCGTATTCAAAGAAAAAAAAGGGCTCAAAACCACGAGACGCGCGTTACTTATTTGTCCCTGCCATCTCTCTGTCTGATGAGCCTACGGCGCTTTCGCCGGGACGAGAGAAGAGAGAACGCGATTGTACCGTGTGACAAATCTTTATAACTCCACTCGTACTGGGCAGATCCTTAAAAATTCTCGGCGCTGAAGTCATCAGGCAATATATCTTTTTGGTGAATTCATTTCATGGTTACCTCAAAATGTGTTTCAGGGCCCCTTTAGCAGCTGTCCAGGATTCTTTCATAAACATGTCTTCTGCGTGCGCGCCTTATGCTGAGCTCCCTAAGGCCTAAACATGCAGCAGCTTCGCCCGCATGAAACACAATGCAGAAAAAACAAGAGGGCAGGCAAAGACAAAGGGAGAAGAGCAGGTGAAATTTTAACTATAACAGCATAAAGTTTAGCGGCAAGGAGGGATGTAGAATTGAGGACCCATGGTCCGAACGCCAGTGTCACAACCATACGGCTAGCGAGGCTCAATAATAAAACAAGCACTTGTCAGAACCCTATGATTACGCGGCTCAGATTGAGAGAACAAGAATCAGACAAAATAAAACAGAAACAAAAGACTAAAGAAAAGAAAAAAGTAGTAGCACAGAAAGAAAAATGTACCAGGAATGAATAAAGAAATGGGCAAGGAAAATGATATACTAAGAAAATATAAATAGATAGAGAGAGCATCATTTCGGTTTTACACGGCTTAACTACCTTTTCTCATGCTCATTTGCTTATATATTTACTTAGCTGGCTCTAAGCTAGGCTTGACTGGTAAGCTAAACATAGTGTCCCAGCATCGCAGTTCATTCAAGCGTGGCACCACCAATGTGAAATTGCCCTGATTGTTGATTTCCTTTCGTAATTATCTACGCCAATACTTCTAATTTTTTACAGGCACTGACTTTTCTCTTCCCAGGTTCTCGTAACAGTCGTCATCGTCAGCATTATCCTGACTACGTCATCTGGAGAAAATACCCTCACCTCACCAGCTCACGTGCTTCTGTGCAAACTGTGGTGATGTTAACTCCGCGAACTTCAGAACCCTATTTGGTCATCTAACTTTCAATCTCTATATATATAGCCTTGCCTTCAAGTCTAGTCTGATGCTCTGAATAAGAAATTGTTACCTTGGTATCAGGCTGCATGCCCTGCACAAGTCAATTTATCCATGGTCATTTCGACTAAGCTGTCGCTAGCATATATTTGTTTGTTTAGTCATTTTACGTATTTCACATATCTTACGATTGCACATAGGGTGATTCTTCATTCTGTGGCATGCTGCTTAGTTCACAATTTAGGTTCAACCATTTCTTCGGAAGCTACCGCGTTTTTGCCTTGCAGATAGGCACGCGCAAGATGCAGCGGTTATAACGGGTGTCAAAAATCAAGCTTTATGATTTTCCTAAAATCCATAACTGTAAATAACATAACCATTTTTGTATAAAACTTATGTATACACGGGGGACGCAAGGAGAGAAAATAATTATGGCTTCCACTGTCTCAATCAACTGAGCTTTAATAATTAGGCTTTTAGTGACTGCATCAAGCAGGCATATTTGTGTTGAAAAAAAAGTTGGAGGCAGCCGAGTTCCTTGACAGTCACACTTAGAATACGTTTAGTAAGTTTGTGCCTCTGGATATCACATTTGAAAGTTTATTTGGGCGTTGCATGATTCATCATGCAATATAATCAGCGCTGGCGCAAAGCTCCTCCCCGCTCTGCCACGGCAGTTGTGTGCGTCATTTATTCTGATATTTGGTCGAAGGCATTAGGAAAGATGATAACGGTTGCCCATCTACTACCAGCTGCCGATATGGCAAGCCAGGACTGTTCGTCACATCGGGGAGGAACAGCTCGCTGATCTTCACCGCCTTGCAGGTGTAATCATGCTGTGCAATGTTAAGCTTTGCCGCGACATATCTCGGAGCACAGAGAGGCTAGAAGAATTCTTCCAAGCGTAACTATGTAAAAACGCTCCAGACTCCGCATTTTCGATACACATATGCCTGCTTGCTGCATTAACTGAAAAATAATAATTAAGCCTTACTGACACCGATAGTCACTGACAGACAGAATTATTATCTCACTATCTCCCTAGATACATGAGTGATCTGCAAAAGCGTTTTAATGTTATTCTCAGAGCTTAACTGTAAGAAAACCATAAAGCTTAACTCCGAGCACCTGGTATTGATTTCTTTAGAGAAATGTACGTAACGTGTATACGCTTCCGCGTATCGACGACATGACGGACTGCTTACACGATGTCCAATATTTTTATTAGCTTTATTAACGTTCTGGCTAATGGCAAATCCCACTGGATGAAAGAGATCGCAAGATAATTGCCTTTGTCTTCGTCTTCCGACATTGTTTATACCCATTCTAAGTGGTATATTTTGAACCATATAAGCATGAAGCATGATGCGTCTTTTTTTGTGTGTGGTTTTAAATGGTCAAGTCTCCTGTGTTACATTGATGGCGTATTTGTGACTTCAACGACGTTTAAGAGTCATCTCTACGAAGTGTAAGCCGTCCTTGATGATATGCTGTAGAATATAGTCGTATATTCTGGCAAAAAGCCCACACTCTGCAAGTTTCCACCACCTCATACTTCCGGTATTGTACAATACAGGAAGTACGAGGCTGTGCTGCTTCTTGAGACCCTTTAATAAGAACGTCACCGATATCACTCGTACTCTCACCGATATTTTCAAAGACACCATTCCAGGTTGAGACTAGAGCAAGTTCGGGAATTTTCAATGGTTAGGATTCTGCATGTAAGTTCGCCTATTCTTGGTCATTCTCATACAAGTTGTACAGAAGTTGAGACAGGTCAAGATGCTACGGAACTGGAGATATTTTGTTCGAAGGATAGCGGGGAATGATGCGTCCATTTGCTTATGCTAGAAGCCTTGATAGACCTCAGAGCGCGAGTGCTTGATACAGAACATAAATGCCTTGCCCGTGTTTGCGCTCTTGTCAAAATTATAGTTCATTACTTGGGCTCTCCTCACTCGAAAACCCATCAGGGCGCCTCGTCTGTTTCGAAGTATGCCTTCAAGAATACTCATGTTTTCATTGTCGTACAAATCTGTACGGCTACAGAATGACGCCAAATGCCACTCCCACTGTTCTTTCGACCCACCTGACACCACCACTAAAACTGATTGGGACACCAGAGTTTTGTCGCTCAGCCACCTCCTAGACGTCACCGACAAGCAGTGTTACAACTTATATTTGCGATCTCTTATACAAGGCCTCACATAAGAACAGCACGGCTGCTTCCGTACGTCTGTACTCCGCACTGTTACCCTAAACCACCCCAATATGACACCGCAATCTACTCAAATGTCCCTCTTTGTTATCCTGCTTCTACGACCATCCATTTTATATCGATGTGTGTTGAACAAGCGCGTTTAGGCACACTTGGGCCTTGAAAGCTTGCATGCATTTATTGTGATAGCCGTTATACGGACAGTCACGACGTGTTTTTACCACCGCCTTCGCCATCAACACCATCCCCCATATAATGTACAAACGTATAATAGTTCCGAGCGCATCATACTTTGTGCATGCAGGTAATAACACGCGAAAGGGTGCAATTAACGTAGCTGAAGGACACACCAAACAAGCCGTCCCGTCTCTGTCGCTCGTGGTGGTGCTTAAGCAGAAAGGGAACGCCCTGCCCGTCTTAAACGAGCTTGAAAAAGAGGCGAGGGGCAGTCTCTGGAGCAGCAATTGGGGGCTTATGTTTTACGGACATGGTCTCCATCGTTCCTACACTCTTTTAGGTGCTGCGATCACGAAGAGCTGCGAAAAGTTTCCTTGGAGCAGCCGTATTTTTTTAAAGCAGCCGTTTTATCTTTTGCATCATATCGGATTCGAAAGAATAGATGCCAGCCTTACTTTGTATAACATAATATTTTGTTGCAGTCGCATTCATTGCTTGATCGTTGTGGTGAAACTGACTTTTTCGTGATTTAACAACTTTTGACGACCACAAGTGAGCCAAGAAGGAGGACTTCATACCTAAGATGTGTAACTTTGGTAACCGCAAGAAACACGTAAGACGAACGAAGTATATGGGACAAACGCTTGTCCCTTGTGCTTCGTTCATCTTACGTGTCTCTCGCTCTTTCGCGAATGATGGATCAGTAACACCTAGCCTGATTGGAGTGCCTCTATAAATATGGGTGACCATCACCGTGACGAGATCACAGGCCAGCCGTATGACTGCTGAAGGACTGAAAAGGTGTGACTATGTCATCGGAGCAACTTGTTGCGATTCCACTGACCGTTTATCCGTAGAAAAATAATGGAATCGCAAGCTAATTCTCTGGCATTCGCTATCTGGCAGTTGCAAGTAAAGCTTTGAAGGGCGTGAAGTTCAAGAGACTCGCAAGGAGCGATGAATCACGGCAAGCACCCTGTCGTGATTTTATACTTGCTTACCTGCACCACAGACTACTTCAAGTCGCTTCACAGAACATTTCGGGTGTGTCACACCAGTGCAAGTGACTCAAATCCACATCAACAGTAAAAAGAACATTTTTTTCAGACCATGTGGCAAACCAAATTATCCCAGAAAAACAGAAGGCCATCATGGAGCTAATAAATATCCCAGTGTGCTCGTTCCTTGCTCACGCAAAAGGAACGAGTGTAATAGTAAATAAATTGGACATTGACGTTGCCGACGCTGACCTTCGGAGGCGTTGTAACGTGAACGGTTAGAATAGTGACCATGCTTCGGGCATCTTCGATGCATTAAAATAGTGTTTGATTCTGAGGTTGCACCAAGAAGCGTCAAGCTTAGATACTGCAGGCATATTGTGCCTCATGCGTGCCACGGCCTTTCCAGTACCACAAGTGTTCTGTAAGTGGGGCCATGGCAGAGCTTTGTGGAAAAGTTTCATAGCTTTTCAGCTTTGTCAAGGACTTCATAAGATTCAAGGGCCAGAATTGCTTAGCGCGCAAAACGCGATATCCAAGCGTTGCTCGAAGTTAAAAAAAAATCACGGGATATTTGCAGACTCAATTATGATTAGTGGGGTGAAACGTTCATCAGTCTGTACGCGCTTCCGTCCATTCCTTTGTTCTTGCTTCCGTCCGTCAGCGCGTTCGTACGTGCGACAGTCCATCTGTCTGTTCGTGCGTGCATCCATGTGTCCATCCGTCTGTCAATTTTTGTTCGTGCGTATATCCGTCCATTCATCTGTGCGTTCTTCCTTGTGTCCATCCGGGCGTTCATCCGTGGGTTCGTCCGTCCATCCGTGCGTCCACTCATGCATCTGTCTGTGCGTCCATCTGTGCGTCCACGCGTTCATCCGTCCATGCGTCTGTTTGTCTGCCCATATGTTTGCGCGTCTGTCCATCGGTCCATCTGTCGATCCGTCCTTCCATCCATGTAGTGAACACTCCAAGTACCACCATCTCAAATCTTTTCATCATACATTCATCATGTACAATACCACCATCCAGCAGACATTCCAAGGACTAAATGAGAGGTGGCTACCTACTACTGCTGTTGCATACATTGAGGATGCAGGACCTACGGCTTTCACCCTAAATCAATTTTTTGTGGTTAATGTATGTGAGTAAATTATGGCATCACCTTTCAGGATATTAAGATACGTGATACTATAGTCTCGCGATAACCGAACTATGATAAAAGTGGTTACATGTCTACAAACTTATTTAACATACGGGAGGCCTAGATAGCATGGCCTCTCATGCTTCGAATGAATATGTATGGTTGATCACGAAGCACATGTGACGTTCGATATCTCTCTTAGGCGAATATAATCCAGACCTTCCCCCCAGAAGCCGCGTGTCCTATTCTAACCTTTTTTCTACGCTCCAAGCTTTTCCAAATTCTCACGTTTTATTAGAACAATTCAATGCAAAACATCTATTGTGGAGCTCTGCTTCGGTAAACATCCTTCGTCTGGACATGCCTTATTTTGGACAAAATCGGGGTCTTATTATCATTAACGATGACACCTTCATGAGCTAATAGTATATTTGAGTGTGCACCAATCAATGTCGGGCCCAGCTTCAATGAGCACCCATAGCACAGACATGCCTAATTTTGGGCTAAATAGAGACCTTCAT